AATAGGGCTGGGGATGTGGCTCAGTGGTCGAGTGCCCTTGAGTTCAATCCCAGGTACCGCCCCCTCCACCCCCCCAAAAAAGTGGGATACAACACGCACAGTAAAGCATGGACCCTGGAGACAACACAAATTTGACCCTGACTCTGCCGTATACATGCAGTGTGACTTTGCATAAATTACCTAAATTTGGTGTCCCAGTTTCCTCATCTGTAAAATGGAGAAAATAATAATTACCAAATTTGTGAGGCTTAAATCAATTATACCCGTACCTGGAACATATGTGAATGTTATTATGTTACTATTAGTAGGAACAGTAGTACAGTTTGAATATCCCTCATCCTCATCCCTCGCTCTTGGAACCAGAAGTGTTTTAAATTTTGGACTTTTAAAAGCTTTTGGAATATTTGCATGTATCTTTGAGATATCTTAGGGATGGGACCCAAGTCTAAACACAAAAACTCATTTATATTTCATGTCCACCTTATATACACAGCATAAAGGTAATTTCATTTAATGTTTTATATAACTTTGTGCATGAAACATATTTCATGTGGTGTGGAATTTTCCATTTGTGGTGCTGCATCAGTCCTCAAAAAATTTCAGATTTTGGAGCATTTCGGATTTCAAATTTTTGTATTAGGGATGCTCAACCTGTAGTACATTTTCATTTATGAAATGCATATTCATTCAACAGATATTTGTACTAGGTACTGTGCTAGGTACTGTAGTATTGTAGCAAATAAGACAAATAAGGGTCCCACCTCATGGAGTATGTACTCTAGAAAGGGGGAGACAGACAGGTAAGCAAGATCATTAGAATTAGGATAAGTGCTATGAAGGAATTATACCTATTGGTACAGGAAGGAAACTTCTTTAGATGAGGTGGGTCAAAGAAGGCTTCTTGGCAGAGGCAGTATATGAACTGCATCCTCAAAATGAGAGTGAGCCAGCCACACATTTGGGAACGAGGCTGCAGGTGGAGAATAGGGATTGCAAAGGTCCTGGGGTGAGCAAGGAACCAGAAAATCAGTCAGTGGAGCTGTGGCCAAGTGAACAAGGTCAAGAGCTGGTCAGGAGGAAGGTGGGCATCGAATGAATGGAGAAGAACTGGAATGACAAACCTGCCACCATCCTTATGGGTTATTGGCAGATGAAGCTGGACAATGGGTGTGAGTGCTTAGCTTAGTACCTGGTATACAAACTCAGTAACCTGGATCCAGTCATTGGCCATCTTCCTGTCCTGATGCTATCATCCATTCCTCTTCTCCCTCCTGCAGTAGTATAATTTCTTCTAACCAGTTTTCCTGACTCCATTCCCAGCCTGCTTTGATCCATCCTCCACAGAGACAGACCTACCTGTATAAACTGCACCTCTGGTCATTTCTCTCTTGTTCTTGGAAACTCTGTGAATCAGTCACCACAGTGTAGCATCTGGCCCCAGGGCCCTTCCAGTGCCTTCTCTAGCTATGTCCCCCAGCACCTGCCACACTCCAACTCTCCCAGACAACTGACAACTTCTCCCAGACAACTGCCCCTTCCACCCTCACTGCAGTGACGCTTGCCAGTCCCTTGCCAAGATGCTCTGGGGTGCTCTTCCCCCCTTGTCCTGCATCTGCTTTTAAAATTCAGCTGAGAGTCACATTCTCTATAAAACCTTTCCTAATCCTCCCCCCTCCAGGCTCCTGTACCACACTGTGCTGTTATTGTTTGTGATGCAAGTTCTTGTGACCCTCTACACAAAGCTTCAAGGGCAGCAATGGCACATGCTCATTTTTGCTCTCCTTAACTATAGCACAACCATGGCCCATAAGCAGTGCTCAATATTATGTGGAGTCCAGGCTCATATGAATTTAACCATACAGACTCAATGGTACATGCATGCATACACACACACACACACACACACACACACACACACTTTTATGTAAGTTCAAATGGTGTCAGTCATCTCCGCCTGGACTCCTTTCCATCCTAAGAGTCTGGGGTTCAGAATGAGACAAGGATTTTGCTTATCTTCATGCTGACCCTCAATTCCCGTAACTCCTCAGCTCTGACCAACTTGTTCCTCTGGTGTTCATTAGAAAAAACAACCTTCTGGATCCAGATGAAAGGGAAAATTCGCCATGTTGGAATTATGGAGTCACTGCATGTCAATGTTAGCATGACACATTCCCAGGGGATTTTTCCAGAGGAGAATTTTTTTTTTCTTTTTTGTGGTTACTGTGGACTGAATCCAGGACCCTGTACATACTAGGCAAGCATCTACCACTGAGCTACACATCCAGCCGTTTTTATTTTTTTGTTTGTAAAAGTTTCCTAGGCTGGGCTTGAACTTGAGGACCTCCTATCTCAGCCTCCAGAAGAACTGGTGGAGGGCAGTTTTGAGCATTGTTTTCCCCTAATGCATTAACTTTGCAATCCATGTAGGATGAGCAGTAACTCTTAAATATTTGCTGAATTTATGGAACAGCTAGTAATTAACAAAGCCAGGGCACAAATTCTTATCATCTTACGTCTGATGCAGTGTTCTCTCCCCTGTCCACAGTGCAATACATAGAATCACTGTTTTCTAAAAGTTGTTTTTCTTTCTTCTTTCTTGATGGTTCTTGTTTCGGTTGTTTTGTTTTAGTTCTGAGGATTGAACCCGGGGTGCTCTATCACTAAGCTATGTCGTCTCCAGCCCCTCTCAGGTTTTGAGACAGGGTCTCACTAAATTGCTTGGAGCCTCACTAAATTGCCAAGACTGGCCTCAAACTCCCGATCCTCCTGCCTCAGCCTGCCTCAGCCTGCCTCAGCCTGCCGAGCCACTGGGATTATAGGCGTGGGCTGCTCCATCACCTTCTCACCGTTTCTGAACTGATGAGTCAGAGCCCTGCATCCTCTCCCAGGCCCCCTCACTCACTCCTGTAGCCTCTGGACCTGTCTTCCCAAGCTCCACACACACCAGCGCAGGCCTTCCCTCTGCCTCCTCCCCAGGAGCCCACCTCTCCAGTCCCCACCACTTGGCCCACTCCCCGGCCTCCAGGCCTAATCAAATCAGCGCATTCCGCACATTCTGCACCTCCCCAGCTCCACCTTTCCTGCTCTCCTCTTTACCTCCAGCCCCTGGAATCTCTCAAGCCCATTGTTCCTGGATTCATCCCAGCGGCCTCTCTGGCCCAAGTCTCAGCCTCCAAACATTCTCGCAATGCGATCACAGTTTAGCTCTGCGAATGACATTTGTCAATTCCACAGGAACCTGTAACTGAATTGTTCCATTTAAGCATGTCAGCCTGGTGTGTCGGATGGCAGCCTACCTGATGGAGATCCCCTCAGGGTCACCTCGGTCACCTCCTTGTCAATTCCCACTGTGGCCTTTCCTGGAAGGAACACTCCAGAAAAACCTCCCTGCCTCACTCCTGCCCTTGGTACTTGCCTTCTCGAAGGGTTCTGCGCCGCTCTTCACCATTTCCATTTAGACTGGTGGCCTCAATATGTCTGCATTCAATGGCTTGTCACTTAGGAAACTTGCGCTGGCTTTTTCTCCTCAGTTTTACACCTTTTTCAAGCATTGTTGTCATTCTTTTATGCCATTCTCTAACCTTTGCGTTATAATTATGAACGTGGATGTCATATTTATTACTGGACCTATAATCTCTTCATGATCTTTTGTAATTTTTTTTGGCAGCTCAGTTCAGTAAATATTAAATATTTACTGTCAGCTCACAAGTCCAATGAGCTGACAGTAAATATTTAATATTTACTGAACTGAGTCAAAAGAAAAAAAAAAATTTTTTTTTTCTTTTTTTAATGGTGCTGGGAATTGAACCCTGGGCCCGGTACCTGGTTGGTGAGTGCTCTGTCACTGAGCTCCATGGCAACCCCAGGAAACAATTCTTTTATTTTTATTTATTTACTTATTTTTTGTAGTGCTGAGAACCCAGGGCCTCACACATGTGAGCTACATCCCTAACCCACCAGGAAATAATTTTCAATATGCCGGTGCCACTTGGCATTGCTGCCCAATCAATCACAAATCATCATTACCACCTACATACAGACTCTAGTTGATGTGGCCAAATCCTAAGAAGTAGACTTCAAACAGCATCTTCCAGCTGTGCTCTATCTTTCCTGGACATTAGGCATTTCCTGATCCTCCATTGCTTCTGGGACAGCAATGGGGAAAATCTTTCCCATTCAGTTTTTCTAACGCATCTTCTTGATTTTCTTTTCTTTTTTTGTTTGTTTTTAATTGGATATGGGGGATTTAATTTAGGAGGCTTAAACAATGAGTCACATCCCCAGCCCTTTTTATTTTGAGACAGGTTCTTGCTAAGTTGCTAAGGCTGTCCTCAAATTTGGGATCCTCCTGCCTCAGCCTCTTGAGTGGCTGGGATTGCAGGCATTTGGTACCATACCTGGCCTACTCATCTCAGAAGCTTCTTATTGCCGAGCCTAGCTTGGGGCAGCACCTGCCCAAGCCCAACTGTTTCAACCTGAGGCCCACCAACTTGGTGCTTACCAATTGGTGCCTTATTCTATAGCAAAGAGGCAAAAAATGAGTCCAATTGCAGAGGCTGCTGCTTCAAAGACCACTTCTGGGTTTTCAGAAGGCTGCTTCTTTTGATGGAATTAATCCATCATTTAACAAAGGCTATAATCTTGCTATGATTTGGGGTATTGTTGTTGTTTCCTGAGATTTATAGTGAACAATTGTTGGCCTTAGAAAGTTAAACCCAAAGGGTGGGGGGATGTGGCTTAGTGGTAAAGCACTTGCCTAGCATCCCCAGCTCCTCATTAAAAAAAAAAAAAAAAAAAGTTATATTCAAAGCAAAATTGTGTTCATTGCTTTCCTAACAAACCCTTTCTTCAGGTGGTTTCTCTAAGCCAAATCTATCACTGGTCTTTCTTTCACCACAGGCCTGCACAGCATGTGGCTGGCAGTCATTTCTTAATAATGCTTTTGGACAAAGTCAAGATGACAGATTTCCCCACTTACCTTGTGTCCTCTTTACGGCCAGGTTTCCAGGAAATGGATGGAAGCTCTTGCCCTGGAACTCCAGACTTCTCTCAGTCATGGCCTATCATCTTTCTCCTTAGCAGATTGAAAAGATCAGACTGAACTGAAAATACCGGAGAGTAAAACTTGGATCTCTCCTGAGTAAGCTGGAGACCCTCGGGTCATCCTGAGGATTCAGCTTCGTGCCCTGATGGGTCAGTCCCCTCTTCTGGCCATTTCCTGTTTCCTCTCTTTAGCTAGCTCCTTCCTGAGCCCCAATCCTCACCTCACTTCCGCTTCATTGAGATCCTGTCATTCTGTCCTGGGTCACAGTCTGAACTCTCTGGGGATCTAGGAAGGAAGGCATTCTGCCTTGGACTCCCCATCTCGGGTGCTCCATGGGAACAGTGCCTTCCGGGAGACCCTGCCGTCTAGGTGTTGGGCCATCTCCCGGAGAGAAGGAACACCTCCCTGTCTGGTGTCTCCTCTCCATCCTCCACTCCATCACCCAGGCTTCTTGATTTTTCTCTGGTTTGTTATCCTACCACTTTTTGGACTTTCCCTGGCAATCACTCAACCTAAACCAAGCTTCCCAATTATAACTTTCCCATAAAACAGTCCCCTCTTTATGCTGAATCTGGAATAACCGCAGAATTTAGAGTCAAAAGAGAACGTGGAGACCATCCCATCCCAATCCCAAAATTATACAAATTTAGAAATTGCAAGTCAGAGTGGTCAAATGTCTAATTGATTGTCCTGTTCCATAAAATGAATTTCTAGTCCAATTACTTGTTTATTACACATTATACAGAAAGATCACCCACAACATAGGGGGTGTAGAAGGGAGGAGAATTTGGATACCAGTAACACTGTAGTAATTATTTTCTCCAAATTCTTACATTAATATTTAGGTTGTTACTAAAATCCTGTAATATCTACTGGGGGACATTCGTGTAGTTAGTAAGACTTAAGTGCATTCATTTGGGTTCACTATGACGCCATCGCATGACGGGTTAATCACTTTGTACCCAGGCCTTAGTGGTTTGCTGAAATATGAAGAAGGATCATGTAGGGTTTTAAACACACACACACAGACCTAGTGATGATTCCCATCTTGCACACAATGGTTTGAGCGTATCTTTCTTTTTTCACAGATCAATTACTGACTATTTTATATTCAGTGACTCCTTTCAGTAAGGACTGTCAATCTGGGAGTGAGTGGGATCAGTGGTATCTGAGGTGACCAGTTCTTCCTGGTTTGCCTAGGACTTAACAAGTCAGCACTGAAAATCATGTGTTCTCAGAAATCTCGTAGTCCTGAGCAGACCACAGTACTTGTTCACTGCAAGCCTTACCCACCCCATTCCTGCTCACCTTCCTACTCCAGGCAAGTCACAATCCAGAATTAGTGCCCTAGATATTTATGGTCCCTGGGACAACTCTGATGGGTTACTGGAAAACATGTTACTGGAAACCCCTTAGTTGCATGGGATTCAACACACGCAAAAGAAGTGACCAACACAATACCAGCCACAAGGGTCCAAGCAAAGTAGACCCAAACCGGACCTGCTCTGTGTGTAATAATTTTCCAATTGCTTTTGTGGTCAGAGTATAGAATTTATAAATTTTATCTTCACCTGTCCATTTTTTTTAAATGCCAGGGCAGGTAAATATAAAATTTGAATCTAAAAACCACTTCAACTAGTGGGAGAATCAAATACAAATATTATCTTCTGTGAGGTATGAACACAGGATGTATCTTGCAGGAAGTTATGTCCCAGTGTTAATTTCTAGGAAAGTAGAAGAAACGCCTGACTTTTTGGGATTTCTCCAAGTGCTCTGCCCTAACAAACTATCTAAACTCTAGCAAAGGACAGGCTCTGTGGGAACACAGCTGGCTTGCAGAGAGGATTGGATAAACTGAAAATGAGTCAAGAATTTAATAGGGCTATTAAAAGTAGAAGTTGGAGGAAAACACTGCCTATCTCTATTTTAGGATTGTTTTGTTTCCATTTATTTGAGAACGTCCAAAAGCTGAGGACCATGAGATCTTCTAGATATAGATCTCTGCCAGGCAGCAGTGATGTTGTAAAATACTGTTCTTGCCTAGCACGCACCAGGCCCTGGGTTCAACCTCTAGCACTGTAAATAAGTAAAGTCAAATAAAGTACTGTCTCTGGAGCTGGGAGTGTAGCTCAGGGGTAAGGCCCATGTTTAGCATGGGTTTGACCCCCAGCATCACAAAAAAGACAAAAGAAACAAAAAAGCTTATAAAGCTGGGGCATTTAGAGGTAGTTGGTATGAAAAAGAAAAAACAGAATAATATCCAGATTTGGACAGATAATTTCATCATGAATTTGCAGTCCATTTTCTTGGAGGAGACATTTGCAGTCAGAGAAAAGCTGCTATGAAAAACATAGTCACCCATGCTGTTCCTTGTCATTGAGCATAAGATTTTAGGTTATGGATTTGTGATGTTTTCATGGTGCTGAGGATTGAACCCAGGGGTGCTCTTGCACTGAGCTACATCCTCAACACTCTTCATATTTTATCTTGAGACAAGAGTCTCATGATAAATTGTCCAGGCTGGCCTCCAACTTGCAATCCTGCCTCAGCCTCCCAAGATGCGGGGATTACAGGTGTACACCACCACAACCCACTTGGAGGTCTTGGCCACCACATATTTGTCTCCACCTTCAGCTCTCTAAAAAAGTAGTCATGTACTTTGGATGTACTTTGAAAAAACAGGCTCAAGAGACTACAATTAGGAATGAAGGGAAGTTTCCCTGTGTTGGGGTCAGGACAGAGCGCAGAAAAAACTCTGCCCTTGATAAGGCAGAGTCTTGAAGTCTTGAGGTCTTGAGGGCTTCTGCCTGTGCTTAGGGATCTTTTAAGTGGCAGAATGACCCCCTCACACACTGCTCTTGTGCTGAGGCTCAGGGTGTCCATTACTTGTCCAAGCTCTTTGTACACCCAGCACTCTGCCTTGTGACCCAGGCTGCATTTGTAAAAGGGTATGATGGGGGCATGGGATGATCGACACTATTAGACACTATTATTTGCCACCGTCTCAATTTCCTCATCAGGAAAGACACAGAAATTAACAAGTGATTGCACCAACCCTGAAGTTGCAAAATTTAGGCCTGGAGGAGTATGATTGAAATCTAAGAGGACCTAACTAAGGCCTCTAGGCTAAATCTGCCCTTGAGCTAACAGTGATTTTATTAATGTTTTCATGTGGTCAAAAACAACATAAAAATAAACCCACTTCATGACCAGAAGGGGTATATTAAATTCAAACTTCAGCATCCATAAAATGAAGTTTAATTAGGACACAGGCATAGATTGTTAGGGCCACATCCATGCTACTCTAGTCAAGTTGAGCAGCTGGGCCGCACCCTGAAATCATTTACTACCTGGCTCTTTCCGGGGGAAAAGTCCTGATATTTGATTCAGAAGCAAGTGACGAACAGATATGCCTGGAATTTTTTGAGCAAAAGGTTTTGTCATAAATGTGAGTTTTCTAGATAAGAAAACCTACCCTTTTGTGCACAAAATGATTAATTTTTTAAAAATGGGGAGATCTGGGGATATGGCTCAGCGGTAGAGTGCTTGCCTAGCATGAGGCCCTAGGTTCAATTTCCCAGCACCGCAAAGGGAGTTTTCTGAATAAACACATTTCAGAAATACCTTTTTCAATTAGAATATGTAGAATAAATATGTAGCTATTAGTATGTTTATATTTTTAATTTCACTTTTTTTTGGGGGGGGGACCTGGGGATTGAGCCCAGGGGGTGCTTAACCACTGAGCCACATCCCCAGCCTTTTTATTTTTTTATTTTGAGACAGGGTCTCGCCTAAGTTGCTGAAGCTGGCTTTGAACTTGCAATCTTCCTGCCTCGGCCTCCTGAGCCGCTGGGATTACAGGTGTGCACCACCACGCCTGGCCTGTAGTTCACTTTTTGTTCTCTGGTTATTTTCAAAGAAAGTCTAAGGGTTGATCTAGTCTTTTGTTTGTATCAATTTTCATAGTCTTGAGGTCCTTTGGCAGACATTAATATGTGCCGCAGTCTGTCTGGGCACAAAATAACCGAGCCACCACAAAGCCTTGTTGGTTCAAACAGCAACTCTTTATTCCCGAACTCTCACCGGCACTCTACACACACTTCCCGGGAATACACTCCCTCCACCGGGCTCCACGCCAGTTCTCCCCGGAACCCCACGAAAACTCAATGGGAACTCCAAAGTAGCGGGCGCCAGAGGCAGCAGGATCCGCCCTAATCCCAGTAGGATCCTCCCTAATCCCAGAGCCTCCCTATTCCTGGAGGATCCGCCCTAAACCCGGAGCAGGGTCACCTTTCAACCATTCCCTCTAGCAAAATGCCAGGCGTCATTCCGACTAAACTGTGGCTCTCAACAAATATGATCTTTATAAATACTTGAGCTATTGATCTTGTAATGTGAAAAAAATGGGCCTGAGCTCTCTCAGTGCTGGTCATCGCGAGTGCCAGTGTCCTCACACAGCTGTACTTTTGGCCTTAAACCTGTTTCGTTGTCAGACCATCACCTGTTGCTGACAACTGTATCCTGACCTGCCACCTCCCCATCCCTCTTCTGATTGGTGACTTCTCATCTGTTTAGCTGTGAGAACATTTGTTATGATTGTGTCTAGACTGAGAGCTAATAGGTTAGGCCTCAAGAGGGACGGAAACCACCAGCATCGAGCTTTGATGCTTCAACCAAGGATGGTAATGCAATCCTTGTGTGTGGGCATGCACACACATAAATACCCATGATTTTAACATTTGCTAATTACTGATAACATTTTAGAAGTTTGGGAGTTTTTCTGATAAAATTCAAACTTTTCCACTTCTCTCTCTTTTAAAAAAATTAATTGGTTTTATTTTTTTATTCACTTCTCTTAAAACATCTGAAGATCTATCAGCACCGGGTGCCTGATGCAGTGGGGCATCAGTTGCTGGTGTGGAGAGGAAGTCACATGCTCGGGGGCATTGGAGCGCAGGCTGTTCCTCACAGTCCCTCCCTCCTCACGGCCACACCTTGGCCAGGCGTCAGCTGCTTCATCTGTCAGTCCTCAAGCCCTGCTTCTCCACTCTCCACCAGTTCTGCTTTCACTGTATCTTCCCCACCCGAGCGCATGGGAGAATATATATCCGGCCAGCAATGTGCAATCATTATTTGGGTTGCTTGGACACTTGTTTGTTTGTTTGCTTCTTTACTTTCTGTGTCTTGCTCATGGCCTGAAGGTTTTAGGTTGCCAGACTGACACAGCCAAAGCCTACCCTGGCAGGATGGTGCAGTCTGGTTGGAGTGAGCACTCATCGAAAAGCATTAACTCCACACACCTGTCATTCCAGTGACTCTGGAGGCTGAGGCAGGAGGATCACAAGTTCCAGGTTGGCCTCAGTAACTTAGCGAGGCCCTAAGAGACTTAGGGAGACCATGTCTCCAAATTAAAACATAAAAGGGGCTGGGGATGTGGCTCAGTGGTTGAACATCCCTGGGTTCAATCGCCAGTATATATATATATATATATATATATATATATATATATATATAT